TATATATATATATTTTTTTTTTTGTCCAGGAGTCCAGGCATCAGAGTCACTGAGATGCAAGGCTAGGGAGTTTCAGGAATTCGGGGATGTTCAGGGTCCGGCGGCGTTCTTTCCAAGACGGGTTAGCCGCCCTAGGCATGGCATTTGAGATCCGTTTTGGTTTCCTGACAGGCTGGAATTACAACATGTACCAGCTTCCTTTCTTAACGAACCTGGGCAACATCCATGTCCCATCGGCGCAAGGCGTCTCTGTAAGCCTCAATAACCTCAGACCAGGGGCCTGAATAATTGCCTATACTATCGTGGGGGTTCCCTATTACAAGTACAGTATAATGGGCTCCCAAACCCTGCTCTAACTATTAAAATGCCCGTATGTTAGATCCGAAATCATCAAGGGCCTAAGCCCCAGGGCCCACCCATCTCTGTCTTCGGCCTCATCCTTCCTTGTCTGAAAGTCAATCATCTGTACACTATTCGTTGCATACAGGGCTTACATCGCAAATCTTACAACCTACCGCAGAATGCCACCTGAACTATGTAACTATGTCCACCTCCCCCCTCCCTCCTTTTGGCGTGCTCTCGGCCTGCTTCTCGTCCTCCTCGGCTGCCTTCTTCTCTGCCTTCTTCTTTGCTATCCACTCCACTTGCTCTCCTTGGCTAGCAACGCCAAAGCCCTTCGAGTGCAGTTGCAGGGAACTCAACTCTCCCTCAGCTTCGGGTGCTGCAGGTGCCATATTGTTGGCTTAGGATGTACGATTAACTGCTATGCTTTCTTCTCCGCTCCCCCAAGTTCCAGGGGTTTGGCTTTGACTTCCAGAAGTTCGAGGTTGAGGTTTTCACGTGTTGGCGGCTTCCTAAAGCGTCGGTCGTGAGAACTCCACGACCTAAGACGGCTCGAATCAGCATAGTACAGCATGGCTAGACTTTAACGGATATCGCGTGCTGAGCTTGTGCTTCCAAGGTATTTCCCCGACACCGATCTGCAACTTCAAACCCAAAATATCTCAAAAGCCTTCCGGCACACATCCCAAAACCAATCCTCAAGCCTCAAACCGTAGCAAGGTAGGCAGAATCCCATCACTCGAACACCTTCCGAGTCGCTCGCTTGATCTAGGACCCACTGTGGCGCTGCCTTGACGATCTTATTGGCCTGATCGGTGATGGGATTAAAACATCTTAAACGAAGGGTTGCGTTTTTAAGGATTTTGGCATTAATGAGTCGGGCTCGGAAACATCAGAGATAAAGGTGAGACAGAAAAAACTTTCACACGAGGACACCCCGAATACACAATCCTCAAAGTTGCATACACTGGCCAATGCCCGAAAATATGAACTGTGGCGTATGTCGGTTTCTCGAGGCTGTCAGACGACTTAGAGTGTTTGTGGCTTGGGGTCTTTAGGATGGGGCTTGTTGGTTGCCCGCTTATGGTGTCTTCCGCTTACTAGGAATCAGGATCCAGAAGGTATGGTTATGGTCTGGTGTTCCGGTTTCGTGGACCTTGGGGTAGGGAGGGGTGCTGCGGCTTCAGGTTTCACGGCCTGCGGCTAATCGGTTTCGGGATTCAGGGTTCGACATTCGAAGAGTTTTCGACGGGAGCCCTCGCCGCAGCAACCTGTCCGAAAGATCAGAGTAGCGTTTGGTGTTTAGAACTACTGTTTTAGTTTTAGGCTTGTGAGTTTCAGAGGACGTGGGAGGACTTTCTCGGCTGCCTTGTTTGAAAGTCAATTCGAGAAAGCCATCCGCCAACCCGAATCAGCTCCGAAGCGAGCGGGTGAAAACCTGGAACCTTGCCGAAATAAACTACAACACGATCTTCTGCCATGCCACCAGCGCCCCATGCTTGTCGCCAATGCGCTGCAGCCGTGCCAGATTGCGCTGGGCTCGCTCCAGCTCCACCTCTCTGCAGACTTCCGAAAAACAGAAAATAGAGGAGCTAGCTTCTGGGTTTGGGTGTGATTGCTTCTGCTGGTGCAGCTACTACCATCGAAACTAAGAGTCAACGAAGTCTGCAACCACAAAGGCGACCACAACGGCACCACGACTATGACTAACGGAAGGACGGCAAGCAACACTATTGGCAACTGGTCTACAACACATCAGCAGCAGAAGCCGGTTCAGTAGTCATCATCACTAGTTAAGTGCTAAAGACATGATGGCAGAAGGCTGGAGAATGCAAGGCTCAATTCAAGAAAGGCAAGTATACAGTACCTCCAATAAAGGCCCCCCCACTTATGTAGGCCGCCTGGTTGGAAGCCGCGCGCAGCTCGTCCATGGCATCAATCCTCAGCTGACACTCCGAGGTGTAGAACCGAAGCTCTGAGTTTTCGGAGAGCTGAGCTTCATTCGGCGAAGGAACGAGTTATTTTTGTGTTAAAGAGCCCAAATAGGGCTGACGCCGAAGGATGCAGAAGATACAACAAGAGGATGACCCCAGCTTCAACAAAACTGAGAGCCTCCTGCACTGTGAAGATGCCTGCGGTTTAGCCGGCCCTAGCCCTCGCGAGAGAGCGTGTGGAAACAGATGGACCCAATCCGCCATGAAGCCGCAATACAACTCATAGACAAGAATCTCTTGCTGGGGCTTCATGAGCTTTGCTGCGACCGCCTCGGCAGCGTCACAGCCGTACCCAAAGACTCGGCCGTGTTGTTAGTGCCATTCCATACTGTCTCAAGATCATCCCAAGCATTGAGCCTTTGACAGCCGAGGTTGGCCCAACCCAGCATATTCAAGAACAAAGCAGAACCGCCCCGAGAAGAGGCTTTAGGAGTAAAGCGCCTTCAAGGTCTTGGGGGTGTAATTCTGATGTGGAAATGCCATGCAAGGCTCACACTACGCTCGCCCATTCACCTCTACAGTCTTCTTGGCATGGGGCGCCGAAAGCTTCAGAAGCTCTTGCGGTTGGGGGATGGAGTTTTAGGCAAATGTACCTCGGATGAGCGATCCACGGCCGACTTCTCCTGCCGACGAAGGTCGCCAGCCTGAATCTGAAACCGAGAAGGTGTGCAGAATAATCGAACTGGGAGTTTTCAAACCTCATGGTTTCGGGACTTTGGTTCACAATTATCGGCCTTGCGAGCTGGGCTCTGAGACTTATAGCCGAAGTGTTGTGGCAAAAACTATTCCAGCTTATCGAGTGGGAACTCGGAGATCCTAAGTAGGTCAACACTGGCAGCAGATCAATCTGCGAATATAATGCAAAGCCTCAACCCACATTGCTTGGTGCTTTTAAAGCTGCTTAACACTCACTGGCCGTTCCTTCAGAGGCCTGCCAACCTGAATTCACCCTTCCCACGTCCGCCTGGCGCTGCTTCTCCAATGTGCGCAGTCGGTCCTCTTCCTGAACCTCAGTCCGGAATATATCTTCCCAAGTAGCAATCGGTCGTCTTGTGTGCGCGTGCGTTGCGTGTGTGGGATTGCGCGTACATGGGTGTATGACCCTTCGTGCGCGTGTGTGTGTGTGTGTGTGTGCGCGCATATCTGTTCGTGAAATTTTTCGTGTATATATGCGTACGCACATTCAACTCTACATGTTCATTCAACTCTATAGGGAAACTATGTCGCATCTGACTACATGATTATGCTGTCAATGTTGGGTTTGGACTTCATGTTGCTTCCAACTCTTGCAGGGGCAACACGTGTGATCCACCTTGAGGTCCTCGCAGTCTGTACTTCCACAAAGTCGGAGACCCCGAACAACCCGAAGTACTCCTCTCAGGATAAGCTGATGAACTGAAGTCGTAGCATTGTTGAGCATGCTCTTGTTTCCGTTCTGTTGTGGATGAGTGGCTTCGATCCTCATGATGTCAGCAGAACACGACAGCCAGCAGACTGTCCCGGACAAGGCCGCTTCAGCTTCCAGAAAAAATTCGGCTTGAACGAAAACCTAAGGGTCCATGTACTCATATAGTATATACATTGGCCCCAAAGTACCTGTATAGGGACTACTTTAAGGCCGAAGTATATACTGTTTGGGCACATGGACCCTTAGGGAAAACTTGGTTTAGGACTGAAATTGTCGTACGTCTCCCAGGACTACCTCTTGACCAATGCTTTTCACACATGACTGCCATATGTTCTCGGCAGTGCTCTGAATGCACTTATTGTTTACCTGGAACTTCAACCCGATAGTAGGCGTGCATTAGCACCCATGGTATGAAGTACTACGCTCCCTGTACGACTGCTCAGGCAGCAGCGAGGAAGTCCGGCCACTTGTCGATGCGCTGGTGGTCTTCCATAGCCCCAGTACTATCCTCAAACGTCAAGCGATTCAAGGAAAAGGCGTCAGCTAGATACTCAGAACCAAGATCCTTAGCCGGAATTTTGAAAATCCTGAGGAATATCCCGGCAACCGGATTCGGGCTCAAGGGCTTGTGGGCCTAGGAGTCTAGGGCAGAAGTCTCAGCAGTTTAAGGCCGAGGTCCTCAGGCCAAGGCTATGGAAGCCTTGTGGTCAACGTAACACTTACCCATAGGCCCCATAGGAGTTCCTTTTTGGGGTTATCCTTTTTAGGGTTCATATATAGAATCCTACAACCCCAAAAAGGAACTACTATGGGGCCTATGGGTAATGTGCTCCTCATACCCAGGGCTCCAGGGTCACACAAACAACACGCTTACACAGAACCTGCACGTCGAAAAGGAGCTTGGCTTCTTGAACAAGTCTGCCGGCAAGAGGCCGTTTCCAGCGAGCAGCGACACCAAAAACAAGATACAAAGATTGGAGTGCGCTAAGGCTTAATCAAGAAAGCTAGCCTGAGTTTTGCGTAGCAGCAAGCCAACAGCACAAGAAGAAGAAGACGCTATTAGTCGCTATATGCTTGCACCGGCCAAGCCAACATTATGCACAACTACCCGACTATCACCCTCCCCGCCCCCACACCAGCCGACCATGAGTTACTTCTGACCCTAAACCCAACTCGCACCAGAAACTCGAGGCATGTATCGATGTGCTTCACGGAATGACCCGCAAGCACCAGCTCCTCAGCAATGACCTGTCGAGAGCGGCATGAAATGAAGCTTGCTTCACACATACGGGTTGGGGTGTTCTCTTATTTCGGCCACCGAAGATCCTTGTGACAAGGCGGAACTTTAGGGCAGGGTGTTAGTTGGAAGGTTTAAGAGGTAAGGTGCAGGAAATTTTGTGTTGCGCTGTAGGAGCCTGTAAGCATCAAACCTTCAAGTCGAAATCTCAGCCAGAGGTCGGCCAAAGAAAAGCTGAAAGGTCTGAACACACACACACACAGGTACACAAGCACACACCATATTGACGGATGTATATGTATAAAACAAATCTGTATATATATATATATACATACACACAGACACACCCGTATGCATAACTACTTACATATGTACATAGCACAACATGGCATTAGCAACTTAATGGGCTAACAGAAACATAACATAACATAGCAGAACTCACCTTAACTTATACACAACATAGCAAAACATTAACATTGCACCATGTTACATTACATTCATATGCACTTACCGAGATAGCTAGCTACGTGCGCACATACTCATCCAGTTAAACGTCGGCAACCTCGATTCAAACATACATATGGTAAATTCCAGCGGCAGAAGCGATCAGTTTCCAAGCCGTTTCAAAACTTGCTCCAATCTGTCTGGCTGAAGGATCGAAATGATTCAATACCCCTAACCCCCCAGGTACCTACTATATAGGGTACTAGAGCCCCCAGGGCCCTATATAGTAGGGATGAACCCTTTTGCATCGAGCCTCCAAGGCCTCTTGGTGGGAAACAACGTCTCGAGTTAGTAAGAGACTCGAAAGAAACCAAAGCATGCAATAAACAAATCAGCCACCATTAGTTCTCTGACATGATCTCTCGGTTTGGTTGCTTCACCTCTCTACGTAAAACTAAAGCGTAAAACATAGCCGCAGGCCCGGACTCAGCCAGATGAAAGAGTACCCCCGACATGAGGGCCGGTCAACAACAGAAGCCCCGCACGCAAGAAAATCCGACTTCTCTGAAGGCTAACCTTTTGAAGCAAAGCAACCCAAGGTCGGTAAAGAATCATTATATTATATTATAGTATAGTATAGTATATTATAATATATTATAATTTGTTATATTATAGTATATTATAGTTGTCCAGGTTTCTTTGTTGAGCCCCACCCCGCCCCAGCCTGTCGGTGGTCATGCTTCCAGTTTGAGTCGAAGCCTAGGAAGCCTGGGCGTCTTTGGCGGCTCCATCGGAGAGGCTTATTACTTTCGCAGCCATTGTGGTAGTTTCATCAGTATGGGCTTTTCATTGTCTCTGAAACTTGGTTTGCCGCATGAAGGACGTTCTGACAAGTCAGTGGGTAGCTTTGAATCTTTAAACTTTAAACATCAACAACTTCCAAATTTCAAGAAGACAGGAAAGGCTTGTCCCAGTGCAAAATCACAACCTCACCTGGCTCTGTAGCCGAAGGCCTGCACCTGGAACCGCTGGGCTCTGCCTCAAATGCTTGCGAAGAACCTCAACAATCGACCCCAAGAGTGAAGAATGCCGCACGAACGCCCGTAAACGGATGGGGTCAACAAACTCCAACCTAGCGGGTAAAGTAAGAGCCCTGCAAGGCGAACTAGAAGAAATCACATCATGGGAATCCGTTGGAGGGTGTGTGTGTGTGTGTGCTCGGACAACATAGCATTTACGGGCACATCGCACCTGAAGCAGCAGTCGTCTTATGGGCTCGTGCACGGCCCCTCGTGAGCATCAGCAACTTCTGCCCAGCCACACGTCCTTCCGCGCTTCGCATGCCAAGCCAACTCGATAAGAGCATGCTGCGCCTGGCTGCTGAGATGACTTCAGAAACTCAAGGTTTCCGCTTTATGTGGAATGAGCGTTTGACACGTGAGGTTGCCCCAACTGTCGTAAGACGCTAGGCCCTGAACGCACCTAATCCAGGGCCCAGACGAGAGCGAATCTTTGGAACAAACCTAGCCACGGACCTCCAACATGGGCAGTGTAGGTACCAGCGATACAGGTGTAGACTTCGAGCCCGAGGTGGCAGTTGCTTGACAAGTTAACGAAAACGGATCCCATACAGAGTAGATCTAGATTTGATTTACGTAGTGGTTTCGGGCTGGGGTTCCAGCTTCGAAGATCCCTGATCCAAGCTCGCTCATACAAGCAAAATACTGACAATTGAAGAAATCTGGTTTCTAAGTGTGGACGACTACATTCAAACGTTTACGTGTTTCCACGGAGCCCAGACATGTTACAAGTTTCAATTTTTCAATATCAACTCACGGTTTGCACTGCCTTGCTTGATCCCTATAAACCCTAAACCCTAAACCCAAACCCTAAACCCTAAATAAGCTACAGGCCGGTGCAGTGGATCTCGCGGCTCGAACTGGTGACCTGAAACCTGAAGCTACCCCAAGGATGTTGTGTGGCTTCGATAGGAATCTCTACTTTTTATCCAGCACGAGCCCTTCCAACTTTCTGCAACGGTTGATGCCAAAGAAGCTTTCTGCCTTTCCCAGAAGAGCTTTAGGAACACGATGATGATCATGGTGATGATTGACTGGTGCTGGTATAGTCTCTTGACTCTATTGAGAGTCTATTGCCAAAAACAAACCCTCGTTGCCCTGAACGCCGCCTCATCTGTTTTCACGTGTTTCAGGATGCCATAGGCAGATTCTCGGCCCAGTGCCACCTGGAGCTCTGTAGCTGACAGCGCTTGGCTTCGGCTTCCGGGTCCTTGTGCTTTGTGACGGTTGTTTTTGAGCGTTGCCTTGCAACTGTCAAGTCTCGAAAGGCAACGAAATACGTACTGTTACATACTTGATATGTAACTCAAGCAGACAACCGCGAGTGACTAATTCACATCAGCATGTTCTGCGGCACGCGCTTTTCGGCTTTCAACAACAGCATGGTCGATAATGCAATCACCAGTCTCTCATAGGGTTTAAAAGCGGTTTGCCGCTGCATTCCTCTTTTGAGAGAATATCTGCAGGAAGGGTGCCAGCTCTGCAAGCCAAGGAAGGCTTCTCGGAAATCGTTGAATAGGTCATGCTCTAGAAACTATCTATGACTCACTCAAACCCGTTTGGGAGGCCGCGCGGCGTGCTTGTAGGCAATGCCCCGGACCCGGCAGCTAGATTTCAGCGCTCGGACGGCGAAGTGTGGCTGCGGTGAATGCACCTGCATTTGGGTCATGTGTCTTTGGGGTTTGTGGCGTTGGGCAGAGGCTTTTCGGGGCGGGATCGCTGCTTCAGGCAGAAATCAACACTGGCTGGATGCAACAAGACTCGGTTTGACCGCGACTACATGGTGCCCGAAAACGACACGGAGGCAAGGATGGATCAGAAGAACAAACGCTCCTGTGTCAGTGCTTATCGTCTCCTTGGCAGGAGTGCTAAAACAGAGCACATGGAATGCTATATCATATGTTTTATCATGCAATACAGGATTAGACCCTATGTTGTAATTTCACTTCTTATCAGACCGAAATAATTAGGCAACACGTGACAATATACGGTTTCACCACACATATACAGTTCCAGGGGCACCACGTGCACACAGGCAACGTATGAAGTGCATCTGTGGCATCTGTGGACATCTCCGGTGCCACATGTGGGTCGTCGCATGGTGCTGTGTCATGCGTCGGGTTGAAACAACGATTCAACGGAAGCCTCTCCCCGGTGGTCGCTGGCTCTGAAGTCGTAGACAACCTGGAAGGCTGCTACCCACACCAGCCACAAAGGGGCACCGAACGAAGTCCTGATGCCCTCAATGCATTCCTTACCCCTCCGGGCAGGTGACGAACACATCTGAACAGTTTTGAATCACTAGGCTGACCTGCCTGTGCTGCCCGTGCTGTTTGCATTACAGGATGCCGAAGATTCGCAATGGGCAATCTGCCACGGAACACGGAAGCACTGTTCGTGTCCCGATCACTAATCGCCAGCTCGGTGCTCGCCATGCCAAGGTGTTTCGGCTCGCACTCCCGAGATTCTACGACCCAAGCGAACTTTCAACAACCGATACAGAAAGGGCTTTATGTGTTGAAGCGGCACTTCTCTCGGTTTTGGCGTTCACACTGGGAATCTGTCAGGTTCGGCTAGGTAGGTGCAGCAACTGTGAGGCTGCCCGAGAAGCAAAACTAACTAGGATGGCAGGACTTTACCCTAAACCCCCAAGTACCTACTATATAGGGCCTTAGGGGCTCTAGTACCCTATCTAGTAGGTATTTTTGTGGGCTTAGGGTTAGAGTCTGGTTTTGAAGTCCGTACGTGTGCAACCTTCGCCGGGAAGCTTTGATGGAGCTCACCTGGAGCAGCTCATAGAAGCTCTTCTCGCTTAGCTGGCCATGGCCAAGCGAGTAGCACATGACCTGTAACATGGGCACTTCCGATTGAAGCAGGCTTCTTACCTGGGGATTCCTCATGTCGGACCTAACCTGGGAGCATCCCCTTTGGTTGCACCCGGCTAGCATCCTTACTTCAAAGGGTCAACCCCCAGTATGGAACCGAAGTACGAAGATCCTCACTGAGAGGATTCTCCTTCAGGCCCGACATGCCTTGCAACTCCCGACCGAACACCTGCGATACACGTTCTGTGCATGTCTGTTTCGGGGCAAGTACCCATACTTGCGAGCATACGTATGTAGAAATATGTAGATGACTACAAGGTTGCATTTAGATTTATTGCTCTCTCTCTCTCTCTCCCCCTATGTTTCGGCCTGTCTGTTTGTATCAGCGTTACCGCTTAGAGTCTTAGAGTTTAGATTCGTTCATGAAGTTACATCTGCAACATGGAATTCCATTTCCGCCGATCTTGTCTGACGATCTTTGTTGCCAATAGCCCATGAAAGAAAGGGTGTAGTCTGGCTTTGGGCCCGCCTCTCAAAAAACAATTGGAGTAGTGGTGGCTCTCCAGTGTGTCGGGTTTGAAGTTGAGACTGATATGCTTGGGCGCTAGCGCTGGGATGGAGGCCTAGCAGAAAGGATATGTACACGTCTCATGTCCGTCCAACGGCTGTAGGTAGGAATGCAACACCGACATGTGAAACCTTCCTCAGTTCTAAACCCCTGCGCACACATTCACTGACCCTAATATAGGGGCTTAAATAAGTACCAATACTATTGTGGGGGGGTCCTTATTATAATTATAGTAGAATATAACAATAGCACTTTCCAAATCTTGGGTGCCTTCTCCATGGTCTGCAATGACAGATTTTCCCGAGCGAAGTTCGACTGCATGAGATCACCTGGACAGGTCATGTTACATGCGCTTTCCACAAGATGGTGCTTACAATCCGAATTAGGGATGGACACGCAGCGACCTTGCGATTGATCTATGGATCCCGACCGCCCTCCTGCTCACAAAAAAGCCTTGATGGATTTGAAGCATACCCATGTCTCTCAACAGGGTCCGTTAGACCTGAATGAAGCAAAACAGCGGCAGTTCGTACGACTCGATAGCTTGTAGCCTTTGCCATGCCATCTCTCCGCATCATCACGCTTCATCTGCTGCTCGTACTCTTCAAACTGCTGTGCCAGGAGGAAGGTTTTGTCATCACCGCCAGCATTCCTTACCCAAGTCTCCGAGCTTAGGACGATGACATGAAGACGCATGTTCAGACTCAGCCGTGTATTAAAACTGGTTCCTGTGCTTTTGCTTTGCCGGGAGCTGTCAGTAGGGCCCAAAGACTGGTCGAGGGAACTGCGCTTCAAGGGCTTGCAGGGATACGAACTCAAGATCGAGAGTCTCTTCCTCCTCCATCTGCGCAGCAATAGCGGCATCCATGTCTTCGACATGCATGTCGCCTTAGACGCACAGACATTCACATCTTACAGGGCATGTTAACTCGCCGTCACGAAAACCTCACTTAAACTGAATAACTGTCTCTCTCCGCCTTTCGTGTCACCAGTGCGAGCAACAGGAGACAGATCATACAGTATCGCTGATTGAAAATTTGTCTACATAAAAAACGTCTAACTATGCGCACACGTGGAGTCTAGGCGGCCAGTCAACTGATATGACCTCAGCATCACTTCACCAGCAGCAAAAGGTTAAGACTCGGTCAAAACTCAACAGGCTGAAAGGCAGACTGCATGCTCACTCCAACTCAAAACGTCTCAGCCGAACACATCTTCAAACAAACGACTTGAAGCACAAGTTTGATCCCTCAACAACTTGAACAGTCCTGCCCCGCATACCGTGACACGGCACAGCAAGCTCCAGCAGCAAAGGGCAGCAAACTCTCGTCTTCGAATTGCAGTTTCAGAGCCAGCGTCTCATCCTGTAAGGATCTTCAGGCAGGGTTGCTCAGAAACTACGAGGGCGTTGGGTCTTAAGTTGAGGTTGAGGGCCTAGGTCTAAATGGCGCATATAGTGACAGCGGAACGTCAGCCGGCTGCGATTGGCAAAGCGCGTCTGAAACAACAACATGTTCGTTCAGCTTCGGTTCCAAGTACTGAGCATCTGGATGCTGCAATGAATGCTGGTCGCCGTTGCAGCACAGAAACAAAAACCCTCAAAGTCAGTGTTTGCGCATCAAAGACTTTGCAGCACGGGTAGTGACCGGGTAGTGTCAATGCCGGGCTTCTTGTCATTGCTTGGAGGGCCAGAACCCCTGCTTGTACATCCGGTCGGTCTCATGTCGTCTTGTCTCTGTCGTCTTACGAGACTGCTCTGGATTGCCTGGCAGGCAAACTTCTGCACCGACCATGAATTGCAATTCGGATGTAAGTTTTAATGATTTCTTGTTCCAAAAACTTCTTGATCTGCTGAACGGATGTCTTCTGGATACCCATGCCCATACAAGTTGTGGTTCCCCGGATCATGGGCGACGATGGATGGCAAGACTGGTCTTACGAGACCCTCGCCATGTTTTACACATATGCCTCCTACCCCACTTAGACCCTAATCAAACACACAAGGAGTGCTGCACCAAGACACGCAGTGCGAAATAAGTCCATGGAATGGTAACGACAGACTTCGCAAGACGCCGCACGACAACACAGAAATACGGCCTGTTACGTGTACTTCACTCAAGTACTTTCGGGCTGTGCAAGTGATGATGTTCCGCAAGGCGCGTACTGATCGGGCTCGTGTACTTTTCAGCGACGTCGTGCGCTGGGGCTGGCGCTTGCGGTTTAACTGTTGACACAGATGTACCTGCATCTTCCGCTTCGGCCAGCGCATGCACAAGCTATGTCCAGGAAAAAACAACTGCGAAGCTGAGCTTCAAATCCCTGCACATTCCAATCAAACTAAACCCCAAGCAATAACCTGGGAAACGAAGAGTCTAATCCAAGTGCCGCAGCACACACTTGGAAATGTCGGGCCAGCCGGCTTCATAGTTTGAACCCGATATCCGCAGCCACGGGTTGCTCATATGATAACACATGGTAACACAAGCGACATGTTGGCGCTGGGGTTTTGTTGCATGCCAGCGTAGCCTTGCAATACGTTCGTATACACAGAACACGATTCCCCGCCTCGTAAACTATAGTGTATATATATATATATACATATATATATATATAGGTGACTGTAACCGTAGCCCAAAGGAGCCTGAATCGCAGCGCGCTCTGACACCGAATCAAGGCCCTTTTGGTCTCAGAACCCCGGAGACCTCCCGCACAGGCTTCCCCTTTGTTTATCCAGCATTAAACTTATAGTTTTGTTGGACTTAAGCGGATAATTCTGCAGTTCTTGGGTTTTCAATGCCTTTCTGGTCAACCTCAAAGCAAGAGTGTGGCAACAGCTCCGCTTGACCGAGGAGAAGAGGTCGATGTGGGTAACGGTTTGGTGCTGCATTGTGTCATTGTCCGAACGTAAACTTCAATGTGAGGTGCTCCAACTGCTGGACTTGCATGTAAGCATAGAAGATCATGACGCACTACATCTGTCAACTCGTTTGAGCTTAGTTCTTCGTATCCACTGTCCTCCGCCAAGATGGGTTGTGAACACTCCAGAACAGTACAGACACGACTCAGACATCCGGAGTTGTCGTTCGCCGAATCAACTCCTAGTTGAGCTTGAAACTTCAACGACACCCTGATACGAGGATGGGAGGTTACGTTGAGGCCACCAAGCCACATATCTGGGATCCTAGGGCATCTGGAATTCCCGGCACTCTGGGTGAAAGCTCGCCCCACTGTCTGTCTCCGAAACACTTCAACCAGAGTAGCTAAGCTGGAGATCTCCGAACACCTCAAAGGAAGCACTCTTCATGTTAAGCCCCAGATCGTACATATACCTTCAAACTTCCAGGAAGCGGCAAGCTCAAGACAAAAAGACGTGCGAGCGATACATCTATACAGCTCATAAGCACTGTAAGTTGAGTATATAATCAATCATCGTAACGCCCTTATTGTTACTCTTTAATATATTTATAGTAGAAGCACTCCTTTGAACTCTCTGAAGGCTACGGTTATTTCCGAACCATCACGTCTCCTGGGCAGGTTTGGAAGTTGTGGCTTTAGGGTCGTAGCCAGCCCCATAGGCTTGGTAAAGTCAAAACCGGACCACTGAGAGACTGTAAAGTACCAAGAACTGCCAACCCCGACACCCTTTCGACCTTCAAAGTCCTAAGCCCTGAATTGCCGTCATGAATCCATATGAATCCTAACCCCCCCCCCCCCCCC